AATTTTACTACCAAAGTCATGTCAATCATTTTAAAGATTTTTTTAACATGTACTAGCACATGTTACCAACACAATTATTACATATTTTTAACATTAATTAATGTTGAAAAATAAAAAAATAATATTAATTTTACTATTAAATTCATGTGAATAATTTTAATGAGGAATTAATTAAATAAAAGTTAATTTTTATTTTTTTAATATCCATTAATGTAAAAAAAAATGTAATAAGTATTTCGTTAACCTATAACCTAAGATAGAGAATAGAAAAACTCTGTTTTAGTTAAGCTATTTATTAAATAAAGAATTTTCTTTTTTCAATACTAATATATATATAATATAATAATTGCACTCTTAATTATTACTATAAAAGTAAAAAATTAAAAAAAAAACTATAAAAATGATCATTTTTAATTCTTTTCAATGAAATGAAAGAATTCAACAAAAACTATAAAAACTAAGTATATATAGAAATCACATGTACAGTCACGGCATGTAATTGGTTAATTTGTTTAAAGGAAGCAGATCGAGATAAATTAATGAAAAGGCATTGACTGGAAGTATAGTTTATTTTCGATTACGCGGTTAGTGTTTGGTATTTGCCATCTCATGACATTTACGGCATTTAATTGGTGAATTAATTTGCTACAAAATGCAGCAGCCTAGATAAATTAATGAAAAGGCGTTGATTGGAAGCATACTTTATGTATTTTCAATGGGTTAAATTTAATAAATAATTTATTAATTATATGATTTATTTTATTTTAGTCTAAAAATAATTTTTTCTTTTAAAATAATCTATAAACTATCAATTTTATTTCAAAATGGTTTACTTAATATTCCGTTAACTACTAACGGAATTCTTTTTAGGTTGACAATGTTACCTCTTAAACTTTTGAAAAATATTAAATATAGTATATATATTTCTATTTTTTACAAAATTTTATTTTTGAAGTTCAAATTTTTTTATCAAATATAATAATTAACCAAAATGAAATTTCAATTTATATTCATTAAGATTTTAATTTTAATTTGCAATAATCAATATTATAATTTAAATTTTATAATTTCTAAAAAAATTAATTTATTATTAAAATATTAATATTTTTAATAAATAAAACCTTCCAAA